AGGGTTAAGGCTTGTGCTTGCCCTCCTTTGCCTTCTAAGTTATTTAAATACATAATAGTCCCAAACTTGAGAAAGAAAATTTAAGATAGATCGTTTTACCTAAAAGAAGGGCCTCAATGTTTAATGATGGTGAAAGAATAGGCCTATGATTGTAATAAATAAAACCACGATGAAAATGCTTATATTTAGTTTCAAACACACGTGTGTAATAATAAAATAAGCCCTATGTCGTATTGTTTTCTATGTGGGTTGGGGGGGGGGGGGGTATCACATCAAGTCATAAATTACTAACCGGGAAAATTATTACCTTTGCCGCCGCCCCCTGACCCAAGACCCCTGTTACGCGCCTGCTTATAAGTGGGCCCCCTCACTTTGAAAAACGTTCCGCCGGCCCTGCTATATTTAAACATAGTATTTTCTCCATGCCTGTTGTGATCAAGTTCCTAATATCACTAGAAAATACATTACCGTTGATACTGAGGACAATGAGGGCACACACGTGCTTATCACCTTTTAAGGTAAGGGGAATTGTATGCCTGAATTTGCTTGGAGTATCAAATCGACATATGACTCCTCTCTGACAGTGGCGACACCATCCGGGTTCCGAATAGATACACCCCGACGAACAGGCAGATCCCATCGTTACCATGACGAGGTCGTCAAACTAACAATATTAATTTAGCGATTCAAACAAAGTTATCGTGTTCGCCAATCTCAGTCAACTTGACAACAGAAGAAGGGCCTTAAAATCGTCGGTATCGATGAAAATACCGCCAGAGACAGGTATGCTATTGATAGTCTATAGCATTGACGGAAAGTGGCAGCCTTGACAGTTCTCTACATAATGCATACACCCAAATGTCCAGCAGACTTGCAAGTCCTACTTTCTCTTCCATTCGAAGTACGTCGTTTCACGTGTAAAAGTACAGCAATGCCCAGTCATGCCCTTTGTCTGCCAAACTCAAAAAACCAGAACGCTTGACACGAGCTTCATCCATTCTTCAGTCCCGATTTGGAACTCTCTTCCAGACAGTGTATGTAGTAGAGAATATTGCAACAGTGGCAATCCAGACCTTTAAATGCAGAGCACATAATCTCTCGCTTCAAAACTCACATTTAAGATAAAATTTTAAATAAAAATATGAATAAGCCCAACAAGCAAAATACCTAAGCATACTGAAAACCTTTTTTTTTTTTTTTTTTTTTTTTTTTTTTTTTTTTCGTTTTTGCATTCTTACTGAATTGCGAACCATTTATTGGCCCACCGGGTGCGTTATTCGCAACCGGTGTGGCCCCTGTTCGCAGGTGCACTTTATAAAACAAATTATATTAAAAAAAAATCCTTAATCCTGGTCTAAAAGCGCAATGTCTCCTATTACCAGGGATTATATTTCGAGACCCTGACTGAGGCTCTAGACGACAAAT